GTGATTGGCTGAAAAATCACATCTAAAATTGGTTCTTCTATCAAAGCAAATTGCTTCTGGTAGAATCCAGTGTTTTGGGTCCAGCTGAGCCCAGATTAAATACATATTCTGACGGATTTGATATTTTAAAATGTGACAATGAGGAGCAGAACATCAAAAAATTACATTTAAGGCCAGATGGGAAATTATTAACCAGGCAGTGTAATACATCATTCTCTCAGTGACTAACACTGTGTGTAATGAAGGACCGTTTTCTTCTGCACTTTGGTTTCCTGGGCAGAAAGGAAGTGTCCTTGGCCACCGGGGGTTGGAATGTTTTCATGATATTTCCAGTCATTGTGTTATCAAAATTTTGTTCCGGTGTTTGAGGAGGTAAATTCACAAGGTGTCAATTAATTTTCCCCAAGGATTCGTGTCAACAAAGAACAGCTGATTTTTCAGGGTTAAAAAATAACCTCATAAAAGTTCTGTTCAATTCCTTCACTATTTATTTAAAAGAAGGAAATTGTACGTTTGAAGGATTTTTCACAGTTAGTTTAAAAAACTCCAACAGTAAATTCACTATTTTAATATTATTATTATTTCTGAATTTCTCAATGTTGTTCTGTTATCTTCAGGTTGGAGTCCAGCAGCTGCCCAGTTACCACTGAGGTGCTCTGAGCAAGGCACCGTCCCCACACACTGCTCCCCGGGCGCTCAAAGCTGCCCCCTGCTGGCTTTGGTGAAGGGTTAAAAACAGAGGTCACATTTGGTTGTGTGCAGTGGTGTGTCACAGTGACCAGTACTTCACTTTCCTTTCCTTCTTTTCTAGAGTTCTGAACTTCTTACTCTACAGAATAAGAATCCACCATTCTGTCATTCTCGCTGGTTGAAATCCTGACTGTGAAACCGTGCCCTGGAGTGGTCCCAGTATGGATCGGTACCTGCTGAAGTGAGTAGGTGATGATGTGGCAAATATGTCAGATCAGTGTCCTCAGTTTTATCTTACACACAGACACAGTCTTATCAACATAAAGCTGTTGGTTCCGTGTCCAAATGTGTCCCCGCTCCGTCTTCTGTTTCTTCTTGATTCATCAGATCATCCATATTAACAGCACGTTGGAGTTCTGCCGTCACGTCTTGGTTTGACAGCTCTTGAATCCCTCTTCAGGTCTGGGACTTTTTAAGCACTTGGCTAACTTTGCCCATCTCTCACCTAAAGCCATGAAACATGTCAGAACTGACAGCTTTGTTTGGCAGCAGAAACACCAGATTCCTCACCAATTTCTTTTCGTTACGGTTTCTCTAAAGACCTCTCCTAATTCTCAGGGCACATTAGCACGGCAGAATCCTCCGGAAAACCAGATAAAACCTTCAGAAATGCTCCACTGTTCTTGGTCATTTTTGAGCGATCACATAACTGCTCCTAATCCGCTCTATTCCTGGATGTGTGAGGCGCGGTAAAAAGTCCCCACAGGCTTCGCAGCTTAGCTGTCAGAGTTACTGTCAACTCTTCATCAGAATTTTTTCTGCCTATTTTGTGCATTTTCACACACACTGGTTGGTGCCTTTAGCACAGCAACCTGAACTCTACAAACTCAGCACTCAGAGGAGGGGATGGGGACGACTTTGGTTTAAAGAAAGAAAATGATGATATCAACTGACGACATCAACAATTTAGGTTTTTATTTTAACATAAAAGAACGGAGTAAGACGGACAATGAGGAAGTGGAATCAGGACCTAATGCCAACGTACAAACTCCCGGCAGAAAGACTATCAAATACCACTGGGACTTGAACTGATAACCTTCTTGCTGTAAGGCTAAAGGACTAACCACTCCTCCACCGTGTGAGGTCTTAAATTACAACATCAAGCATCAAATCGTTCAAATGGTGACGTCGACATTTTTGGGACGGTCACATTCGTAGCGCTGTCGCTTCCTGTGTGAGTTTGGTTTGTCAGCGTTGCCTCAAGATACACATCAGTCGTCAGCCTGAGGCCTGGACTGTAGAAAAGACAGATAAGATGTGTGTTTAGATAAAGTGAAACAATGACAACACAGCAATTAAGGCAGCCATAATCTTTGTTTAAGATAAAAGTGAGCACAGGCCTGGGAGCAGGTGTTCAGTTCACGTCAGCTCTGTGTGTTGTACTACTGCCTCCAGTAGGGGGAGCAGGTCATTTAAATCTAAGACTCCAGTGGAGGTTGTTGTTAGGACCAGTGGTGTTTTAATCTTTTACCCCTCTGTCCTGTCAGGGTTGGAGCTGGAGCCAATCCAAGAAGTCATCAGTAGAGGGCGTTGTCATGCCCTGAACAGCCGGACCGTCCAATGACAGGGCCAGATATGAGAACAGGTATTCACACTCACATTCACACCTAATGTCCAGAGTCTAGAGTGAACAATTCAACTCATTATCGGGTGGTTTTATGCAGAGACGGGGGGGGGGGGGGGGGGCTGTCAGGGCTGGGACTCTTGGATAATAATCAAACTTGGCAACCGTAGAACTAGTGTTCGTAGAAACAGCCTCTTTGGGAAGACTTATTGTACCAGCGAAGAAGATGTGACCACAGTCCTGGTATCACTGGTCTCACCTCCAGTGGTGAGAAAGTCTGTTAGTGAGGTTAAAAAAAAAAAAAAACAGTCTTAGAATCGGCTATAAAAACAAAACGTCCTGAGGAAAGAGAGCGTCTTAATTAAAGAAATGGAGCGGGAGGAAACCAAGGTCTCCATGTTCCAAAGCATCATGGGAAAATACAAGAATGTTGACACATCCCCTCCTTCTCTGATGCATTTTGTGGCGACAGGAGACACAGCATGAGATCTGAGGAACTCTTCTTTTTCATATTCCTCTGTGTCCCCTGCTCTGGTAATATCACACTTTCCCTTTTTAGCTGATAGCCCACAGGTTTGTGGTCTGCATCTTGGCCTGTCAACAGGGACCATAGAACTATTTTTGAGAGCGAGTGCTGGTATTTTATTTATTTATTTTCCCACACGGTGTGTGTGTGTGTTTGTTTGTTGTTGTTGTGTGTGTGTGTGTGTGAAGGCAGTGAACGTCTGCACCAGCATGAAAAGATAGAAACAATGTTCAACTAAACATGATGACAAAAAAATGTCAATATTAATTTCCATTATAATTGTAAGCAAATGTTTGTTTGTATCAAAGATAGAAATTAACGAATTACATTTACTCATGTTTCTGTAATGAAGTCGTTTTTTTTTCTAATTTGGGGAGTTTGGGAATAAGTAATTTTAATTTTTATATTTTATTTTATTTTATATCGCCACATTTGAAAAGAATCTGTTACTATGTAAAAAAATCAAATGACCGGAAGAACAAGCTGCGTTAAGTTAAAGATAATTACGTGCGCGCGCATTCACCACAATGTGAACGTTAATGTCAGAGAACGTCGTCGTTTCATGGTTCTGTCCAACAAAAACCTGGTCTAGGATTACGAAACAAAGAGCTCCCGTCTCCACATCATGTTTTAATGTATCGAGTGCAAACGAGGCAGTAACTTTATGCGATATAAACCGTGTCTGCCTCGGCCGACAGAGCCAAACGTCCACGTCAAACCTGCGGAGTCAGACGGCGGTAAGTCGAGTTTCGGTGCTTCTGTAATGTTTATTATTTGGTTCAAACTTTCCTCCGTTAGGTTTAAGGTTTTAATGTTTGGTTGTAATTACAGTTGGCTCTAATGAAATCACCTTCAGTCCTGTATCATAGACTGGACATAGACCAAATAGACCAGCGGTTTGCAGTAGGTGAGGGCCCCTCCTCTGGGTGGCGCCAAAGAGACACAGCGAAGATGTCAAAATAAAACGTTTGAGAATTTGCACTAAATGTGACGTTAAAATGATAAAAGGATGTTATGACGGTAATAAAGATGGAGAGAGGCACCTGTTGTATGTAGTAGCACTCCGGGGGGGGGGGGGGGGGGGCGTGTTTTTGTGGTTTATA